AAGGCTGCACCAAGTAGTCATTATATGTTTCTTGGGCAGGTGTGTGCTGCTTTTTGCAAATACATCTGTTTTCGGTCTAAAAGGGACATTTCTGTCATAATTTACTCACCGTCGTCATGTCATTCTAAACCTACATGACTTTTCATATATGACTATATGACCATATTTACTTTCATTGTATGGACAAAAACATTCTTTAAAATATATTTTGTGTTCTGCAGGTGAAAGAAAGTCAGGGACGGGATGTCTCTTGAAGTTGTGGGTTAATGTCCATACGGCTCGAGGTTGATTATGAACATCAGCGGTCCCTTTCAACCTTGAGCTATATGGGCACTTATTCTGAAGAGCTCAGAAACAATGTAGTCTGTGTTTAACAGAGAGAGAGAGAGAGAGAGAGAGATACAAGGTCTCCACTCTATCTTAAAACACAGAGTGCTTTCTCAGCACAAGCGACTCCCTGTAGACTTGACATTCTATAGGGCGGATCTTATGAAAAAAGAGCTAGCATGACTTAAACTTCTCCATCCCACACACACACCCTCATGCAGACATACACACCCACCTCACCTGCTTTCATCACTTCCACCTGGTCTCTAATGAGCTTGTGGTGCTGAGGGCAGCAGTCTTCGCTGACAGAGATGGATGGAGACTCCTTATTTTCCCTGTTATTTCTCCCCGCTCGTCTACAGCTGTGTGCTCGGCCAGCCTCATTTCTCCTCTCTACTATACTCAGAGTTTAATCAGGTTAAATAAAGCCTCAGTTTAGTTTGAAGCCAGTTGTACTCTAAACCCATAATAGTGCACGAAACCCTTCAGATGTTTAGTCATCACAGCAAAGTGTTGTCTTTGTAAAATGGATTTTTTTATTTATCTAAATTTAAATGTATAGTTTTGGGATGTATTTAATAATTATTTTGTTTTCTTTACATAGAACATTTTGGAATGAAACTGAAAATTATAGTTTTATTTATTATAATTAAAAAAGAAAAAGAAACGCCAAGACATTTGTTTGGAATATAGGAAATCCTTGTTAGGACTTGAGTTAGTGGATTTCCCCCCATTCTTATCAGCCTATGATTTTCCTGTTATTTTAGTTGTTAATGGTTAAGATTAGGTTTAGAATTGGGGATCACTTCTCTAGAGGATGAACTTTCTGTGCCGTCCTGTGACAAAGTGTGCCTTGGTTTATTTTTATTTTGAGAGGAGTATTAAGGGCTGACCTTGGGCCATTATTAAATTCAGGGCTGAGCAAGGAACAATATTCCTATGAGTTATAGTAGCCCACTGCATACCCATAATTCTCCAGGCACACACCTCTGTTTCCTCAGCTGCTTGTATGACAGATCAATAATGTCATCATCCTAATGCCCTTAACCTGAGCCTGAAGAGAATGATCTCTGTATGATGACTGTCTTTCTGTCCAGTGATTAGAAATATGAAGACTCAGCTGTATGAGATTAGTGCAACAGTAAGACCAGTTGGTTTAATGTGTAATGGACAGTTTTTCAAAATAAGTGCACCCACACTTAACTAAACACGTGTAGCCCCACACACTGCATCATAACTCAGGCCTCACACACACACACACACACACACACACAAATGCTAGGCGCTTCCTTCCATGAACTTCTCTAATTGTATATAAGCTGATAAACAGGAAAACCTCTCAGGATAAATACTCCCACACTTCATGCTGTTCCTGAAGGCAAAAAGAGAATCAACTGTGTTTTTTCAGTACTGGGGATACTCTTTCCCCTCTGTGATATTTTAGTCAAATGAACTTGCTGATAACCCCATCCAGCTTTTTCCCAAGCATCTTAACAGGAAGTGACCTCGCAATGGTGTTAAGAGCTTCCAACCCTTGAACTATCTAGCATACGGGCACACACACACACATTCACGCGCCTCTTCTGACCTCTTAGAGAGCTTTGAGAGTTAGATTTTATTACATGCTCTGATGTCACCATCCCCTCTGCTCCTTTAAGACTCAGAGGAAACCTAGTTATTAAAAACCAGCTGATAAAATCGATGGCTGCTCCCACCTAGTATACATCCACACACACCCAGGGGTCAGAGGTCAATCTCTCACACATTTGCAGGTTGACGTGACTCTTGGCACTCGTAAGGTGAAGTATATTAATAGTCCAAATAGGGATATTACAAATCTAGGGGTGGATGGACTCTCACTCAGCTCAGTATTCTTATGATGAATGTAAACTTTGAGCTAAATATACTGATTCATATCCTAAATGTAATAAGTAGATGAATGGAGCTTTAAATATGTATGTATATCAGGGGTGTCCAAACTCGGTTCTAGAGGGCCTGCAGAGTTTAGCTCCACACCTATTTTCTAGTATGGTAAGACCTTGATTAGCTGGTTCATGTGTATTTAATAGGGTTGAAGCTAAACTTTGCAGGACAGTGGCTTTCCAGGAGCAGGACTGGACACCCCTGATGTATATCATTGAATTGGGTTGGATTTACATTAAAAAATAGATTTAGGTTTGTTTTAAAAGGATAGTTCACACAAAATGAAAATTCTGTCATCATGTACTCATCCCTGTCTCCTTTGTAATCCACAGACAAAAGAAGATATTTTGTGGAACAGCAGGTTGTTCTTTTTCATAAAACAAAAATAAACTCTAAGCAGTGGCTGTTTAGTTCTAAAAATGAGCACAAAAAAAACACCCTAAAGTAATTCAAAACTGGTGCATTTTTTGTCTTTTTTGGACAAAGGTTTGACTGCCCCTGGTCCCTACATGCATATGGAAAAGAGCAGTGTGGACAATTTTGGGGTGAATTATCCATCCAATGTCATTGCTGGGAGATGGAAGGTTGTTAGCATTTAGATGTGGTTAAGATAGATTTTTGTGTAGAGTCGCTTTTGGTATAAGACTTGCCCTGATTAGAGAGGTGGAAAAGTCTATATTTTAAAATCACAAGGCCATTTCGAACAAAACAACCATTAGAGCAGTGCATTATGGGTAATTTCCTTTCTGTCTCCTCTATACACACAAAAAGTAAATCAAAAGAGGTTCCTGAAGGGAACATTTACCTCATGTTTCATGGTTTAACTGCAGAACTGTAACCATCCCCTTCTCTCCGCTGGTGAGGTTTATTTAACACAAAACATTTTGTCTACCGCTTTGAATTCTGTTTTGATGTACCCACCAAGACTGGCAGCCTAACCCTATTGAAAAAACAGTGTCTAATTTTTCTTTTCCATTGCGGTATTTTTCTAACATCCTGACTTGGTCATATGACCCCATTACTTTTTCACTCTGAGAATCCAAGACCAAGATTCTTTTACCAGGTCTGAGAACAAGGCAGGTGCCACTTCATTGGTTCTGGTCCTGCTGCTGCTGTGGTTTAGCTACATCAGACCGGCTGAGCAGACTTCCTGTCCCTTGCCAGTAATGAAGCTCTGAACTGGGTCAGTTGTTTATGTCTGGAGCACCTGAGCTAGCCACAGACTGCCTAATATAAGAGACGTTTGCTGAAGTAATCTGAATCAGGTCAGTCCAGGGAGCATTAAAACTTCTCACTACCTTGAAAAAAAAAGATAGAAGAAGAGAAAGAAAGAGAGGAGATGGGGAATATGAATTGAGGTTATTTGAACGGTACAAGGAAACCATTGTTTTAAAATTCAGCCTCTATCTTCTTCTGTCTGCCAAGTAACCTTGTCCTCCTCAAGATCACTATGAAGATAGAGAAAAACTGTCATAAAATGATTTGATTTAAGCCAAAATTAAACATATAATACCCAAAGATTAGTTTCTCTTATGAAAAGCGATTCCAGGTTTCTCCCTCCACATTTGTATCCTGTTCAGCCCACCCCTGTGGACCCTTCCTTCCCCTCGTGCCAGGGTTCTGTGTGGGCTTACCTGTCAGGGAGGCCCCTCTGTGCCTTTCCTGCAGATACGAAGCAGCATTATTAGTGCTTTTCAGAGCGTAACTATCCCTATACAGAGCCAAAGTCATGAGTTAAATACATACTGCTGCTTGGCTTCAAATTTGATCCGGACAGAGAGATTTTGAAAAAAAGAAAAGAAAAGTTGGTTTCTAACTGTAACCATTGATCTGTATTCTTTGTATGTTTGGGTGGGTTTGCTCTACAGCTCTGTTTCCTATGTTTTCAGTTAGTTACTTTGGTTATTCATTGTTTGATTAATGTTTGCTGATGTTCATTTTGTTAATTAGTTTGGTCTGTGTATTTAAGCTCCATGTTACTTTCAGTTGATGGTCTGTTATCAAGTTTTACTGGGTTGTTCTGTTCCTGATCTAGTGATTTGTGTTCCTGTGTTAAATAAAAGACTGCGGTGTATATCTGTTCTTTTCATCTTTATTTTGCAATCCAGCTGTGACACTAATAAAGTGCAAGTGTGTTTGTGTTCAGTTGTATATTTTTTTGATATAACTTTTCCATACCTAAAGTACAGTATTTCCATTTGCATCCAATATCATTGAATAGATAAACTATAGAATATGCTAGACCTACTGTAACTTCTCTTTTCTAGTCATTTTTGAAAGTTCACACTATCCCAGCAGAGTGACCACAGGTGTAGTTCATCAAAATTAACAAACGTTAACCAGAACATGTCCAAATATGTTTTGTTTTCATTTTGAACAGTATATGTAATTGTCTAACTGTATAATTGTAAACCTAACATGTTATATAATTATAATTATATGGGGGGGGGGGGGGGGGGGGGGGGGGGATATTTTGGGGCGGTAAAAACGGTTTTCTATTTTAATATATTTTTTAAAAAGTAATTTATTCCTGTGATGGCAAAGCTGAATTTTTTGCACCATTACTCCAGTCTTCAGTGTCACATGATCCTTCAGAAATCATTCTAATATGCTGATTTGGTGCATTTCTTATGTTGTATTTACACGTCACTTTTACAGTGTTAGTTAAAAAAAAATGTCACTACTGTACAATCAATATAGTATCAAATTGCTTCCTGTCTTCATCTTTCCAATTGAATCTCTTTATGCAGGATCATCGAGTAACCTGGTCGCCCAGGAGGCTGTAAGGAAACAGGCTACATTTCTGAAACATGCTGCTAAAACAGGAGAACAGATCTCGAGTAAGAATCAAACCTCTAATTTCCATTATCAACTCAAAATATGCTCCACTTCAGCAATGGAAAGCCCAAAAAAGACAAAAGTGTCATAAAACACCTTTAAAGCAACTTGTCCATCTGGAACTGTTATAAATTGTACCCTAGGCCCTTTGTTGCAAGACTTAATGATGTAACCAGCTTGTAACAGTAAACAGTCCACCTGTGTTGGCCATTTTGAGTGCTGTTCTTTGAAACTTATTCCTAATTAGTTTTTTAGCATGCATATTTAATTTATTCTTCGTCAAAAACTGACAAGTGCTAAAGAGATCCGTGCAGAAAACTTTGTAAAAAACACAACTCTCTTTAAAAAGAACTCACCTTGGAAGGGACACTGTGAAAGCTGTTATTGATCTAATTGGTTATGGTTTGTCTCTTTGTCTCTGTCCCCCACTTTCTCTCTATCTATCGTCCCTCTCTCTCAGACTGTCTGAATTGCAGTCGTATCACTGCCCTCACAGATCGTGTGAGCTCTCTGGAGGCCAAGGTAAAGTCACATCTTTCACTCTGAGCTTCTTTCAGGGGGAATTCACTAAGAATGAATTGTGTCCACTGATAGCTTTGTTTTATTTATCACTTCAGTCCTTCATTATCATTCAAAACAATCCCTATTAACATTGTTTGATCAATCACTCTTTCTGCCTTCTCTTTCTCTTCCTGCCACTCTTTCTCCCAGGTTCAGCTTCTTACAGCCCCTGCCTCCACCTCTCATCGTCAAACGGAATTAAAAAATGAACATGATTCCTCCTCCCTGATGGGGGCGCCACCTGCTAAAGGTGCTCCTGGGGCTCAGGGTCCTGCAGGTATGTTTATCTCTTTGTGTTACAGATTAAAGTGCAGATGTAGTGGTGGTGTTGGCTCTAAGACTGGATGTGAAGCATGCATTCCTGTTCCATTGATTTTAACAGAGCAAAAAATGTTCATTAGACAAAAGGCCATTTTTCCTGTATTTCAAACAATAGAGCATTGCACTTTCAATACCAAAGTCAAGCGTCCAAGGCCACGCATTTGGCCACAGCTAAGATAATATCTTGTTTGCAGTGTATTCATAATGACTGTTCAGGACTGGATCCATTTACATCCAGTTAAGGAGAAAACTTTATTAGCCAATAAGCATGTGGAGATAATCCCATTCCCTATAACAATAATGATAATCCCAGAACCCACCTACATTTCATTTATCTCCCAGCACAGTTGTTGGGGATTTCACTGCAGAGAGATTAGAGTAGATTTAAATTGTGTGTGTATTTGACTGTGTGAGCGTTGATGGCGGTGGGTGTTTTTATTTTGGGGGAATGCCATAGTGCATAAGGCTTTGAATCGCACCAATTCATCGCTAGTTGCCATAGAGATGTAGCACTGAAACATTAAAGAGGCTTGTGAAGATTTAAAAGGGCTAATTGTGTAGGAAAAACTGTAGGACTGCACTTGACACTGTGTCACACTTGTCATTTCCACCAGCCAAACTGTTGGCAATAGAGCACAACAGTAACCACAGACTTTTTAAGCCGCCTTTGTTCTGGAAATAGTTTTCTATTCAATTTCGCTGTACGAATGTTAACAAATTTTAAGAAAAGGACTCCGAAATAAGATGATCTCCTCCCAAAAATATAAATTCAGTGTCACATAATCCTTCAGAAATCATTCTAATATGCTGATTTGTTGCTCAAGAAACATTTCTTTTTATTATCAATGTTGAAAACTGATGTGCTGCTTCATATTTTTATAGAAAGTATGGTATTTTTTTTTTACTCTTTGATGGATAGAAAGTTAAAAGCATTTAACAGAATTTATTTAAAATATAAATAGTTATAACATTATAAATGTCTTTTCTGTGACTTTTGATTAATTGAATGTATCCTTGCTTAAAACTAACTAACTAACTGACCCCAGACATTTGAACGGTGTATATATATTGTGTTTTTACCAAGTGAAAAAAGCATGATATTAGGATTTGGCTTATATTATATTTGCATAATAATTGGCTTTTATACTTTTGGTATTGTACTAAAGCCAAAGCATTTTATTAAAATATTAAACTGGAAAATGTTGACTGTATTTTTTTCTATCCACACATAAGAGTAATATTAGATGTGTAAACCTGACGTGAAAGATTATCAATTCAAATGTATTAGTATAGAAAAAAAGGCAAAGAACTACATGGAAGTGCACTGTCACTGCTGTGTTCAGGGTAGCCCTTCACTGATTGGTGGATCTCTCTTTAGGATCATGGATAGTGTAGTTGTCCCATTTCTCCCTCTGATGACATCAAATCACACTTTTCGAGAATGATGAATCATCTCTTCAGCACTATATGAAGTGCATCCTTCATGCAGAAAGACATCCTTTTTAGCAGTTAATACCCATTCCTTAATTCCCCATACCCACTCCATGGCTATACCTCGCTGTCCATGTTCAATCCTATCATCACTTGAAGTATGGGAGAGATTAAAAGACGGGTCCTCTGAGATTTCTAAAATGACTAGAGAGACTGTTAAGAAAAATCCAGAAAATCCTTGTCGCACTTATACAGCTTTCCTCCTCCCTGTGCTGACTTGGCAGAACTATTCAGCGAATCGAGGGCAATTCAGTTCTTTCCACACAGAACATTGAATAGATTTGTTGCCCAGAAGTTCTTCACCTCAATGCAAAGTCAAACCTCTATCCATTCGAGATACCACAGCCATGAAGGATTGTGGTGAAAGGATGAGGCACAAATTACCCTTCAGGGGATTATTTCCATGTGCTGGTTAGACAGATGGAGAGAGTGAAAGTGAATCTGGTGCTTCCATGGGGAATTTGTGTGGAGCTCTTAAACTGTGTGTGCTGTGCAGGGCCGTCACTAAAATGCACAATTATTGTTTTAGCCCATCTGAAATTGAAAAAGTGGATGTAAATTAGACATATGCATGAATTCGGTAATGCGGTCGGTATATTGAGGTAACATGCACAATATAGCGGGCATTTCAAAATACTGAAGTGTGAATTTTCCTAGGTATCTTATTATCCAAATTGTTTAGATTTTTAGAATGCACATTACATTAGTAAAACGGTGTATATTCTGCATTACAGGCCGAATGAAAATGCGAATTCACAATACGTGACACTTATGGAAAAGCAGAATAATCCAGTTTTTTTTATTCGCTGTGGATTGTCAAAGAACATCAAATACTTCACATTTATTTTCAAACATTTGTGGACAAATGTACATTTTTACATTTTATTTTACATTTTTACTTTGAACTAAAACATGCCAGACCAGAAAAGATACCTGATTTCATTTGTTTACTTTGTTTTTATTGTGTATTTTATTTAAATGTTCAAGATTGCTTTTGTTATTTGAAAGAAAGTTATCAAACTTGTTATTAACTCTTTCCCTGCCAGCGCTTTTTTTTTTTTTTTAAGTTGGCAGCGAGCTCCAGCATTTTTGATCATTTTCACAAAACTTTAATGGCCCCTCAGAACATTTTTATTGTAGGAATATATGAACATGCAATATTTCAAAAGAAAGCACAGACCTTCTGCTTTTAAACAAACAAACAAAAAAAGTTTTATTCTAGCTTCATGCATTCTTTTTTTATCAGCACTTGAATGTAGGTAAGTTTCATTAAAAAAAGCTACATTTTGAGCAAAAAACTGAGAAAATTGCGCTTTTGTCAAAGACTATGGAGTAGATCGAGTCCATCAACACCCCCAAAGCTTCTGTAGCACATCCTGGGTCGACATTTCATTCTTAGGCAGTTTTGATTTATATGCTGTTTAATGTTGATGATTGCATTATTTTACATATGCATCTGATACATATGCTATCGCTTGTTTCTGCTTCTTTTTCGCCTGTGTTTTGATCAGGAAATTAAGTACTCTTTCAGAAGATGCTTAATTGTAATCCTTGAAATCTTTTATTTTATCTCATTCAATTTATACTTTACAACTTACAACTTAAAAACATAAATAAATCTATAAAAACTCAAATATAATTGATTTTACAGTGGCGGTGTAAATTCAGCTGTGTTTTAGACAAGCAGCTTTCAGTGAAAATGAAGGTACAGCGGTCCCTGGTTTCCTCCTGATGTATTTCTGGCTCTTTTGTCCAGCTTATTTTCAAGTGAGCAGACATTGGCAAGCAGTTAGTTTGATTAAGACATTAGCAGAGCATAAAGCCGTACCCCACCCTCCTGCGCCTCAGTCAGGATTTCAGGGAAGCTGAATGTAAATCTGTGTGGGACTTTTTCCATGTCCAGTGGGGTTGTCTATCATAAGATATCCCAGAAGAGAAAGGCAAAGAGGTTTAAATGTCCATCTCCTTTTTCTCCTTGCCTGGTTGCTGATATAGATCTAAACTACAAAGCTTTTGTGGTCCTGTTCAGGTTATCCTCAAAGGGGACAGTTTTTGTAACACAACGGGTTGTTGGATTTGTGTTACTCTTAAAAATAGTCGCCATGTTCCTGCAAAAGAAATGGTGTGGCTGTGTTCATGGCCAGATGCTCGGTGGGAGAGAAACATGAGGAAATTGTATTTTATCATAAAATCTTTCAAGGGGAGAATAACATGAGTGATTGTGTAAACAAATTAATGTATCAGTTCATAAATTATTCCTTTAGGGAATCCTGTCTCTGCAGTGATGTCACAGATGATGATCTCACATGATGAGCTCAGTGTTATTTAGGCTGTGTCTGCCAACAGGCACTTCACTGATCCACTGATTTTTATCAGGCTGTGGGGCTGTTCCAATGACAGGCCTGGAAGATACTTTAGTGTAAAAGATTGACTTTTTTACTGACTAGAGCAGAGTTTGCTTTAAGATCTGGAGAATCCTTATACTTCCTGTTTAACTGTACATTTGTGTGTGTTTGTCCCAGGTCCACAGGGCGAGAAAGGCCAGGATGGCTTACCTGGTAAAGACGGTCAGTTGTTTTATGTCTTTTCACTATTCAGTTCAATCTAAACTACACACTCAAACACACATACACACTTCTGCAAACTCACAATAGAGGTCTGCTGCCCAACCTTGATTCGTTCATTCAGTTTGTAAGGACTGAGCAGAACCTTTCTAAAAGGTTTACCATGATCAAAACATGCATTCAACAGGAAATGATGGAGACCTTCTTAAAGAGACAGAGTCATCAGAGACGGGGAATAATGAAAACGAAGATTATTTCACCATTTACTCACTCTAATGTCGTTTCAATCCTCTATGACTTTCTTTCTTCTGTGGAACCCACCAAATATAAATAATATAAATTAAAAAAACATCTTAGGTTTTTTCATACAATGAAAGTCAGCGTACTCCAATGTTGTTTTGAACACCACTAGCTTTTATTGTTAACATAAACAGTTAAAATACTTTCAAAATATCTTGTTTTGTGTTCTGCAGAAGAAATAAAGACGTACAGGTTTATTTTGGAACGACATGACGGTGAATGAATGAATTTTTTGGGGGAACTACCTTTAAGGGTGTTTTGTGTTCGCACTTGGCAGGTTTAGTTTGACTAAGGCCCCATCCACACTACTGGGTTTTAGTTTAGAAACGGATAATTAAAACGAATACGATCTCCGTCCACACCAGCGTTTTAGCTGCATATTAGAATTTATCTCCGTCCACATTAAAACGACTGAAAACGTGGATCACGTGACCATTCACCAACACTGGGCATGCGCGTGCCGGTGTAAACAACTTCATTGATAAAATTATCCCACCATGCTCTGGGTTAACCCCAAACCGACGCTCCATGTACGGTCAACGCCGCCGCTGCACACGGGAATTGTCACAGATCGCTCGAATAATAGCTTGACTCCGGCGCATGTAGGCAGTTATAGCGTTGTAAAATGCAGAATTTACTTGTACAACAGCTGCTAGCAAAGATATACGCCATGACTGATGACACCCAATCATAGAGCCGAGCGTGAGCCTCTACTACGTCATCGTTTCTAAAGTTCTCCGTTTTGTCCCGTCTACACTAAAACGCCCTCCGGAGATTCAAAACAAAAAACGGATCGGCAGCGTTTCTAAACTTCTCCGTTTTGGGTCTCCGTTTTTGCCGTTTTAGTGTGGACGGGAGGTGCAAACGTAGCAAAAGGTCTCCGTTTTTAAACGAAAACGCAGTAGTGTGGACGGGGCCTAAAACAAACTCTGATGCTATTGCTCTGTAAGTGCAGTTCATTGCTCTGTAAGTGCAGTTCATTTGAATAAGTGTGAACACTGCCATCCGAACCTTGATGCACACCAAACAAGCGGATCCAGACCCCCTTTAAACGAACTCTAGTGTGGTTATACTGAAATATGATTACAACACAGACCAAAGACATCTAAACGAACCAAAAACAGGACATGATGTCACAAGACGCGATCCTAAAAAGGAGAGAATGCTCAAGCATACTTGTTTTTCCTCGTCATAGGAGCTACGTTGCCATTACAGGCATCGGAAACACTGTTTCCTTGCTGTAGATCTTTGTTTGTGTGCAACGAAAGAATTCCTGATGCTGTTTTACTCCTTTACACATTATATAAGCTCTTCATGTGTTCTGAGCTTGAAAAAATACAATCATATGTACACACAACAAGCTCATTTAGCCCAGAACACAGCATTGGTTTGGATATTTGGTAAGTTCCGTATATCCCACCAAAGCTGTAAAGCTGTTTTTTTTTTTTTTACCTTTTAGTTGGGTGTTAAATATGATCATTTGAATACTAAGTGAACCAGGACTAAATATATCATTTTCTTTTTCATCATTTCCAAAAGAACTAAGATGTCTGAATTTACATGTGCGAACACCCTAAGGAGGTCTTCATGAAAGTTCAGCAAGTAAAGTATAGTAATTTGCACAATCTGGGTCTACTCACTCTGAGAGGGAAAAAAAGAGGTTAAGTTTGAGAACGGCCTAATAATCAGACATATTTGGTCGCTATCTTTTCACTTTGATGCCTCTGTAGACCTTACACATTACACATGTTCTCTGTATCTGTAGGTAAACAAGGGTATCGAGGTCTGCCAGGACCCAAAGGAGAGGCGGGTACCAGAGGTCCATCTGGGGCTCCAGGGTCTAAAGGAACAGCTGGTCCTCTAGGTACTTTGAACAAGCCCACAACACTATCACAGGATTTTGAGATCACAGAAATCACTCTGTGACTCGAGACAAACGTTGAGGAATAGCTACGTCCTATTAACACTTCTCATGTTATTGTCTAATGTACAGATCAATGAAGTACCTCAGAAATGGCACATTCAAAAGAATCCCAAATGCTGTATTTGTACATACGTTTTTATAATTGTATCCATTTATAACTTTTTTTGGAGTTCTGCTGACCTATGACTGGCAAGAATGTGGTTTCTCATCATGCTGACTTTTCTGCCATAAAGAGGCACTATATGAAGACATTGACGAGTCAGCATTGAGCCCCAAATCCACTTGCCAAAATATTTGTGCTTGGACCACATTGTAAAAAAATATTTTTTGTTCACAGCGTGTAGTGCTGTGCTAGGGTTTGGCTAAACACACACACACACAATCAACTAACATTATGTATCGCTTACCCCAAGACTCAAAAATAGTACAGAATCTAGTACTGTTATAATATTTGAAACAAGGCCACAGGTATGAAGGGTCTTTTAACCCAGCCATGACTGACTTGAAGGGGCTTTAAATGACCCTAGGACCTATGGAGGGGCTCCTCAGCCATATGAATCCAATCTAAAGTGAACATGAGATATGTATACAATACTTGCTTCTTATTTCTTCCATATGTTTGCCATTGTATTGTTTTTCTTGGATTTGCCTTTTTCTTTACGCCTTCATGTCATGCACAATGAACTGTATCTGATTGCTGTATTCTCTCAAGAGAGGTATGTTTAAATAAAGCAAGATAAATCTAGAGGAAAATAACGTCAAGGTATATGGGTAGCTGACATGAGATACTTTATGGTAGTTGACATCCTGCGATACTTCATCTAAAACTATTTTCAATTGCATTTTGAAAATTATTTTATATGCAGTTTATGACCTCATATTAATTGAGAGACTAGATGGACTTACTTGGATTTTGAATTATGTGTACTTTTGAAAATTCATTTACCATTCCACAGGACTATTAAAATAAACTAGTAAATTTAAAAAGGAAAATGTTGACCAGCTGGTCAGAAAGAAACATGGAACTTTGATTTATACCATGGCACTGAACGATTACAATATTCGTTGTCATTCATTCCAAAAGAATCATGACATGTGCCATAGTGCTATAGTACTTTTTTGTAGGTGAAGGACGCTACTGGAAATGGCAAATTCAGTGATGATAGTACTTTGGCTATTGCTCTGAGAGTCTTTGTGATTGTTTACTCTTTACTCTTGACTCAGCAGAATACCGGTCCACACAATTCCTGTTAAAGGGAAACAGGACATCCTCTTTACATGATGCTCTTACATAAACACAATGAACTGTTATTCACTCAATTAGCATTCCACAAAGCAGCAGACTCCACATGTGACCTGTGCTGTGACACTGTCTAAGAATGAATTTTGTCCACTGTTAAGGCTGTATATTTACACATGCTGTCTACATTGTTTTATCGAGCCATTCTCTTAAGGTATTGTGCAAATCAGGCAACAGAGATAATGATAAGCCCAATTTACATGCCTAATTTACATAGAAAGAAGGCGTTTACAGAGAAAAGACTGACAGTACTTAAAGGAATAGTTCACTTAAAAATGAAAATTCGGTCATCATTTACTCACCCTCAAGTTGTTTCAAACCTGTATGAATTTCTTTCTTCTGCTGAACACAAAGGAAGATATTTTGAAGAATGTTGGTTACCAGACAGTTGATGGACCCCATTGACTTCCATAGTATGTTTTTCAACAACTTGAGGGTGTGAGTAAGTAAATTATGACCGAATTTTCATTTTTAAGTGAACTATTCCTTTTAGGTGCAGTGCTATTTCAGTACATAGCGCCTGGTTAAGCTGGATTGTGTGTGGTTAGTGAATAATAAGAAACAGGTTTTTGCACTGCAATACCATGTGCAAAAATGACACAATTGTTTAGTGAATTTGCCCCTGTTACTGTTAACTCAGGAATTTTATCCTACATCTCATCTAACCGCTTTTCAAATAACTTTAGTAAACATTATATTTTTGCATTGCATCACCTTTAAAACACCTAAAGGCGAGACTGATGAGAAATGGGGTGATAAGGATGCAGGGATGTCAGAGGAGAGTATGGAGGACAGAAGAGGAGAGGAAAGGAAAAGACTGGACAGGAACGGAGAGAAGAACAGGCAGATGAAAAATTTGTTCTGCAATCTCGCACACCAGCCGTAATATGTAGCTTTTCTTTCCTTTATTTTTTCCCTTCAAAACTAACAGGCAATAAGGAACCAGCTGGAGGGATATTGTGTAGTAGATGCTTGCACACACACACACACACATCCAGAAAGAGAGCTGTATGAATCAGCGCAGTCACCAGCCAGGTTTTAATTTATTACACACCAGAGTTGCTAATATGCTCCGGCATTTAGCAGTGTTTATTTGAGTTTTCCCAGCTCTCCCTGTTAGAGCCCCGCACATGGCCATTATGAACCCCCTCCTGTTAATTACCACCCACACACACAGTCACACACAAATACACACAACTCTCAGGCCCCTCTTATTAACCCCTTTTCTAGAACAGCCATGTATCGAAACTAAATACCTCATTCTACCTCAATCTGCGCTCTTTCACTTCCAACAGTGCCTTATAATTGACTATTCAGGGGAAAGATGGTTTGAAATGTGTGTGTGTGTGTGTGTGTTTGAGTTTTCTCTCTTTTTTTTGCTTTCTCCTCAGGTCCACAGGGACCACCAGGCCTCCCAGGAGAGAGGGGCCTCCCTGGGCCACCCGGCCCTCCCGGGCCCCCTGGCCCACCACTTGAACAAGATGCTGGTATGAGTACTAGTTATTTAAGGGGCTGTCATCCAGTCATTATCACAAAAGAAAACCCAAAAAACACGGTTGATACGGACCTTGATGTAAAGTAAAGTGGTCTTTTATCACCCTTAGGGGTTGTACTTTCCCACACTTAGTATAGCCTACTATCATTAACATTTTGGGGTTAGTACGATTAAAACAAATGAAAATAATACTGTTATTATTTTTAATAAATACTGCATTAAATTGATTATAAGTGACTGTAAAGACATTTATAATATTACAAAAGATTTCTATTTAAATGCTGTTCTTTTGAACTTTTTATTCATAAAAAAATCGTGAAAAAGTATTGCGGTTTTCGCAACTGTTTATCATTGACAATAATAAGCAATGTTTCTTGAGCAGCAAATCAGCATATTAGAATGATTTCTGAAGGATCATGTGACACTGAAGACTGGAGTAACGATGCTGAAAATTTGGCAAAGGTGCATTTTTTTATAACATCTTCAGTGTCATATGCTAAAATAAAATGTCTAAAAATAGTAGAAAGTTATTTTTAATTGTAATAATATTTCACAATATTACTGATTTTTCCTGTATTTTTGATCGGATAAATGCATCCTTTGTGAGTATAAAAGACTTCTTTCAAAAACAAACTTGAATGTTAGTGAACGGCTGCTTATCAAATATATATATACATATATAAGCTTATTTTATTATGTTAGAAGAAACAGACCATGGTGTGATACGAGAGGCATAAAACTAGCACAGCTATGAAGAAAATCATTTTCCTGGACAGGCAGTCAGTTATACAGTTTTGTTGTCATTATACAAAAATATTTGACCGCAGTACGCCACAACTGACCAACCAGAATTAAGTATCCTAGAAAGCTGTTACAGTTGCCCGCATTTGCTGTTTTTGTACCCCTCGCCCCCCTTTATCTCGGTCTCTCTCTCTTCTCTCTGTCTGTCTTCATGTGGCTCTTCAGATTTTTCACACCTTTAGAATCGAGTTGTGAGGGAAATTGCTGTAGAACCAGATGGACAGACACACACACACACACACACACACAGATGCTGTAGTCAGTTGCTCTAAATGTGGAGCAGGTTCAGTTGTGAGCGGAGGCCAGTTCTGCAAGTCTAAACCTCATTAGTAGTCATTGAACAGTCAAGTCAAATTCATCTCGTTTTTACGAGTTTTACGATTTTCGTTGTTGTGTGCGACAACAGAGTGACTGAGAAGCTTCAAATGAGTCCAATGGAAAATAGAAATAGAAATGAATAGAAAGAGGAATGGATTGAGGAATTAGTCTAACTTATGGGCATCTCTTCTCTCATTGCCCCTCTTTTCCTTCCCCACCGTTGATTAAAATGGCAGGTTTCAGGAGGTAATGCAGGCTAGACTCAACAGTCACATGCTGGGAAACAGACCTGTCTGTCTGCTGCTGATGTCACTCAACCACTTCCAGATGTGCACGGCCAAAACAGCAGGGGTAGAGCAGGAGAAGTGTGTGTATGTGTGCTGTCTTTAGACTTACACTCAGTTAAACTCTAAGCATGAGGGAGTGTTTTAGAATAGAAGCAATAATATTTTAGTGTGTGTTTCGTCACTCTCGAAGAGGACTGGCCCGTGTAGCGAACTGACTCTTCACCTCAGCTCAGTTTTATATCTGCTCTCTGTTGAAGGAGACATAGGCCTGCCCAGACCTCATAAAGTTTGAGAATTTTAAATTTAGGGGCCTTAGAACTTTATAACTCAGTTAAGGCTGTTATTCCCATGATTCCACCTTCAAAGTAATCAGGACAATTAAAGGGTCTGCAAGGGGCTTCCATAGAAAAACACTGTCTTTATTGAGTTTCCTGTCTGGGTCTGGGCTCAGGGATGCCCTGCAGCCACAGAGAATACAGCAGAAAACTCACCTGCTGCGGGACACAGAGAGAGAGAGAGAGAGAGAGAGAGAGAGAGAGAGAGAGAGAGAGAGAGAGAGAGAGAGAGAGAGAGAGAGAGAGAGAGAGAGAGAGAGAGAGAGAGAGAGAGAGAGGAGAGAGAGAGAGAGAGAGAGAGAGAGAGAGAGAGAGAGAGAGAGAGAGAGAGAGAGAGAGAGAGAGAGATGGGAATCTGCCTTTGTAATTTCAAAACAAAACATTTACTCTGTCTACTGCGAGTAGACTAGCAAAATTTATTTTCAAAACACTTCATTTGCATGATTGTGCACACAATATTCCAAAAGCAGCAGTGCACACAACAAAAGCAGTGACAAGAAAATAAAACAGAGAAAAGTATTAATATTTTAAAAAGTGCAGTAATGGAAATACATAAACAAATTCAGCAAGACATTATTGAGCATGTACAAACGCCAATAGCATTTTTTTAAATGTTTTTATTGCTTGATTTTATAAATGTATAAAATGTCTGCTCTAAATTTTAGGGTTGGGTTGTAGGCAGAGGGGTAATTAATGAAGGGGAAAATAAAGCCCACACAAGAGAAAGAGACAAAGAAAACCATTAGGCTATGATAAAAAAAGAAAACCACTGGCTTGTAATTTTATGTCATTTTTTTGTGATTTAATTCACTTTTCATGGCAGAAAATAAAAAGCCAGCACATCAAAATGTCAAAACCAATTTTTCAATTTATGGTGCGCCAATATTTTACAACCTGCTACAAATTAAACACCTGTTTATTCTTGTTTAAACATCGCCATCTACAGGCAAGTAGCCTTAATGACGTTCTTCATCAGATCGCTGTCACTCTGACTGAGATATATATTTTTATATATTGTTACAGGCCTGAAAAAAGATAGTCTCCTACATAACAACTTCCCCGACCTCCAAGTGACCCCTCCACATGGACCACCTGGACCCACCGGTCAGTGAATCTTTATTATTTATTTCTTGTTTAAAGTATTTCTCACTATTGGACACTTATTCCATGGATGATTACTAGGTTTAAACTAAGCTGCTTTTGAAAGCCTGATTTGAAAACAATCAGATGATTTAACCCACATTCACACTGAATGTGATATGTGATTATGATTAATTTCAGCTGAATTTTATAATAGGCCTACACATTTTGTATCAACCTTAATTTCATTCTGCAGGAGGAATTTGTGTTTGTATCCCAGTTTACCATCATGAGATTTTACAACTCAATGTTATTTCACTTTTGTAAAATTGCAGCCATTAATTCTTGACATATTTTACTTTTCCACACACTGCAAACAGGATATTGAAAACATCAGACAACCAAAATGTCACTAGACTCAAAAGTTTCCTTATTATTTTTGGCCTCCCTTAAATTACATATTGTTTCAATGTGATTAAAAACTATGAATTTCACTCTACTCAACCTTTTTTATTTTACCAGATGAGGTTCTAGAAAAGACTTAAAGCCTTTATTTTCCAAATACTGCAAATAATATGTTTAGTTTGAATTTCCTACATAATTTTAGACCGTCATAGATCCATAATAATTTCTATTTCAGAGTATTTCATTGAGCTATTCTTAATGATCAGTTTTCCTTGTTTAATGTTAAAAGACTGTTTGCCCTAGTAGTATCCACCTGTGTTATGATGGTATGTTTGGACCCAAATGTAATTTCAATTAGGGTTGGTTGACACCATTAGGGTATTGGGTATACCAATACCAGTAAAATTTCACGGTTCTTGGGACCAATTTCGGGACCATAGCAAAAACTGTCGGGACTATTTTATTTAAATATTAGAAAATGAAAATATTAATTAAATTAAATACGTTTATTATTTATGATGATAAAAACTATAAGTAAATGATACATTTAAACAGCAGCTTTCAAATGTTTATAAGTAAACATTGTTTTTGAAGAGATCAAGTGAAAAATCCAGATTCTGACTAACTTAAACACCTCTGATTGGTCATTGCATTTACGCGCTCAACAACTATGTCTGTGATTGTCTCAATGACTAACACTTCAAAACCACCTTGTAAATAGAAAACTTTTTACACAGATACACTATGGAGCTTTTGAAAGCAGCCGGCTATCAACGGTCACCCAATATACCCGGCAATTGGGAAAAAGCCTTGGACAAATAGAATAAAATTAGACCACGAATGGTTTTATTCAGATATGTCAATTCTGTCTTTTGTAGGTCCTCCTGGACCAATAGGACCCTCTGGACCACCAGGCCCTATGGGACAAACTGTAAGTTTATGCCTGATAAGGAAATAATAACCCTTATGTGAGTGTGTGTGTACTAATGTGTCATCTTTTTCTCATGTAATCAGGGAAAGTCGGGAGCTCCTGGTTTGCAAGGCCCGGTGGGTCCAAAGGGCGAACGAGGCGAAAGAGTGAGTGCACAAGCTTAAACCTCCCCACAGTGCAACACTTCCTGTATATATTCTGTGCATTTCTTACTCTTAATGTAACTCCACAGGGACCTCTTGGATATCCAGGAGAGAGAGGGTTTAAAGGAGAGCCGGTAAGATGCCTCCTACCTTATCGACAAAAAAGCACAAAGACAGCACTATAGAGTACTCCATTCAACTTGTAACAAGTCTTCTGAAGTCGTACAGTAACTTTGTGTGAGAAACAGGCTGAAATTTAGATCATTATTCACGCTTTTTCTTCCTAGGGAGAGCAAGGCCTTAAAGGAGAGCCAGGGGAGAAAGGTCTTCCGGTAAGACGAGCCCATCAGGAGTCCTGTTTGACACACTCACTCCCATTTATGCTCAACCTTTACAGGAAGGAGATAAATGATCAGTCCCTGAGTTCATGAATGCAGGGAATATGTCAGTCATGCACTTAAGAGCTGTTTAAATGCACTGATTTTAATGCGGAAATAATCTCTTTCCTTATGCCTGCTTTTCAATGTTCTAGAGCGATTTGAACGTAAGAGATTTTGACATTTGCCGTGACGTTTTTGTCGTTCCTGGTTTTAGGTTTTTCATTGCTCATCCTGCCGTTTATCTGTGTTTTAACATCAGCAATCACATTAAATCCATCAGTGTAATTTTCATCATGAGAAATTAGGGCAGATTGACTTTCTCATCCAAAATTTATGGAAAATTATCAGAAATGTATAAGCAAAATTACGAATGAATGAAAACTCCACTGAAAGGATTTGCTCCACATTGCTTACTTACAGTACTCACTGTTAGCACATTATATGTCTCGGTTTTGTGTGCACTGATATTGTTTCCATGTGTTTTTGAACAAGAGGTTGCCCTTTATGACTGATTTGAGACACGTTTTTTGGCTTCTCACTGTCTAAACGGGGTTTCTGATCTAGTCTCAGATTAGCATACAAGGGCATAATCTCTTCAGAATGTGCAATTATGTTGTTAATGTTGTTGATTTTGATTGGTTGGTGGTTGGGGCTGTCTTGAGTGTTTCCCCTGTCCTCTAAAGCTGACTCCTTTCCGTTACTGTCTCCATGGCTGCCTTTCACAGCCACCAGTCTCTTAGCTACCAGCTCTGGCATATACCCAACACACAGAGAAGTTCAATCTTTGCTTTGTAGTGCTGTTGTGACAAAGAGGAAAAATTGTATTATTGATATATCCTTTGTGTGTGTACAACATTGCAAATTGATTCATCAGGGTTCAGCAACCAAACTGCTAGATCAAAACCACGGGAGGAGGAGAAATAAGAAAAAAGTAGAAACGTGTGTTGTGTATATGCTCCATTTTAGCATTTGCAGGGATTTGGTGTGTGGATGGACGTGTAGATCGATACAGCTATCGTTCAGTATCCCTCAGTGCATTGCTGCATGTTCCCATCTCATTGCGCTGCTTCTGATCTTCCTTTTTGCCTACTCAACTTACATCTAACCATACCATTTTGAGTTTAGCAGCATTGAACGATCAATAGTCAAACAAACGTTCCGTTTAATTGCATTATGCTATCACACTCAATCCACTGTGAAAGCCTTGCTATATTGAATAGCCTCTTAAGTTCACATGTTGACGTATGGTTTTTCGCATGGCCTGCCGATCCCAGATGTGTGTTATTAATCATAAGACAGATAATTCAATTAAATCCTGTAGATGCTGTATGTAGACTCCTTAGAGATGTATACATAATGTACAAAGACCATACAATTATTTGAAGATTAATCTCTTCACATTTATCATTTTGAGGCCTAGCACTCATATAATACCATAGGGAAAGATTCTGGACCATAGCCATACTTGCATCTCTTAATGAATATGGTATTTTTTCAAGAAATTATATTATATATTGTTTGCTATTTTGTTTGGCTAGATGAACTACCGCCTGCTCTCACAGGCACTAACTTTTACATAACTCTTTCCTGACTTCATCAATAACACTGTTTTTCTAACATGTGCTTGAGCTTGAGACTGTTGTGTAGAATGTACGTTATGTGACCAGTTCTTTACACTGTTCTAGAAATGCCTACCAAAGCCACATAACTAAGTATTTCTGCAGATTTTTTGTAAAATAGCACAAGGTTTTTTCTGTTAGATCCGTTTTTTTGATGTTCATGTCTTTTGATTCCATGTAGCGCTGGGTAAAAATATTGATTTTCCAATTAATATTTTAGTAATGCACATAAGGTGAAAGATTCTCTTTCTGGCAGTGTTTCCTGCACCACTTTTCAACGACGCAGTTATATATATGCTGAGTTGTTAATCTGAGTTGTTCACAGTATATGAGGCAATAAAAAGAAAAATCTTTATTGGTATTGACCTCACAGGCTGCATGAAAAACATAACTCTTCCAGTGTAGTCCAATTAACAAACACGTGACTCTTTGAACAAATAAATAAGTGAACCCATTCTTTTTAGTTAATCAAAAACAGTGTGAAATGAATGACTCTTAGACAGATCTTTTTAGTGAATACATTTTTTTTTTACCATGTGGCTAGTGTGGCCTGATTCACAATAAGAATCTACAGACTCTACTTTTTAATGAATTGCAAACATATTCCTGAAACAAATGACTCATATGAGCTAGTTCTTTAAATATAGCGTTACCATTTTGAATCAGTCTGAAACGCTGGCCTGTATAATTTACAGTATCAGGAAAGTGAGAATTTTCTGAATAGGTAAAGGAAATGGAGATTATGACTGAAATATCAAACCAATAGCTTGTGAATCTAAATTGGAAAATCTGTATTGATACCCAACCTTAATTCCATGAACTTAAAATGGTCATAATTCATTAGGTATTATGTTGAAATGAATTACTGGCTCTGATTGGACACCAGTATTTGATAGACATGTCTTCAGTGTGAGCTAATAATAGTGGCTTTGGTGTAAGAGCATATTTTACCTTGAGATGAGCAGACTAAAGACTAAAGAAGTGTGTGTCAACCAAGTACAAAAATGGTCCAGATGACTCCAATATTTCTTTAGTTTGAACAAAGCTGCTCACCTCTTGGTTTTTTTTTTTTTTGTAACATAGTCTGAGTGTACTGGGAATGTTAAATGCATGTTCAAATCAAAAGTGATTGAACATTTGGTCTTGATTTGCTCTAAGGAGCCTTTGGCCTGAAAAAAAAAAAAACCTGCATGCTTTTTGTCAAGACTTATGGCATGGCCACAGAAGAAATGAATGAAATAAGACAGGCAGAGCTTAATTTGATGTTTAGTTAACTGGAGTTTCGTAGTGAATGAAGCTGAGAACTTAACCCGCTAACTACGGTAATGGATTGAGATTAATGTAATTGATTAACAGAATGACATTGCATCTTGGCGAGCGCTTTTGTTTGGCTTGTGCCCAATACCTTGACGGCTGTATCTATCTCCACAGGGGGATGGGATACACCAAATTCGCGAGGCCCTGAAGATCTTAGCCGAGAGGGTTTTAATCCTCGAGACTATGATCGGTATCCATGGTGAGTAGAAGGCCAGAAGTAGGTTTAGGTCTGTTTTAAAAGGACTTAGGACAAGGGTCAGAGATTTCAGTGCATCTTTTACCCCACAACACCTTTGGAAATTGAGCGAGGAGCAAAGTGTGGTGGAGGACAGGGACCAAGTACTCCAGCTGCCATCCATGAGCCCAACCCCCACCATGCTTTCAAAACTTTTGATCTTTGATAGGACTTTAATTTGAAGAAGTTCCAAGACTTGCAGGCTGACTTAGAGCTGCTGGCTCGCAGGGTGCAGCTGCTGGAGGCGATCATCTGGCCAGGTAATGCCCGCCTCCCCTCGTCTAAGCAAGTCAATCTACTGCCATCTCCTGGCCAGTTAGAAGATCAGCTCACAGGAAGGATTGTATGAATCCAAAAAAAGACTCCCATCCAGGGCCAGACTCCAGCAGTATTTCCCAGTTTCTAGACCTCTCATTAAGTTGCTTTTCTGTATAATGCCACACAACCACTATTTAGTAGATGCTTTCCCATCCATAGTGACTTACGGTACATTTACTATGGAGACAGACCCGTGCAACAGCCCGGATTCAGTGCCTCACTCAAGCATGCAATGTGATAATGGGAACTGCAGTAAAACATCAGTTCATGAACCACCCCTGAAGTTTGAACCAACATCCTTTGAATTACTAGTCAAGATTTTTAACCACTTTAGCCACTTCTTCCTGTGATTGGAGACCCATCATTACCCACCAAAACACAGTAATACCACAGGGCTCCAGACTCAAAAATGACTGGGTTGAAATTGGTTCCTAAATAGAAGTATTTAGGAACCAAACAACTTCTTATTTGTTAAATGAAGGATTTTGCTTGACAAAGATTGTTGTTCACTGTCACTACATGTGCTATGATTAAAGGATGTTTATTATAGTATATAGATGATTACTCCGTCATTTTAAATTATTCATATGTGTTTTCTAGTTGTATTTAGTATAAATTATCTAATTCAATCTGATTCAAACCGCTAACTCTAGAGCGAGTTTAAGACTGTTCTGTGAGTCTCGGAGTGAAAACAAAATCAGTCACATGTTCACAAGAATCGATATACGAGTCATTTGTTTGGACATCAATGCTTGCACCCTTTAAAGTTTTCTCAACTATCGCTAACAACAGTAACTAGACTTTAAATTATTGTAACAATAATTTTTTACAACAGTCTGGAGTCCTGTTGCCACCTTTCTTCATCTCAATATGGTATAACCCTGAAAACTGATAACAAACATGCCACTTCTCTAAGAATGAACTGAATCATTGGACTATTATTCATCAGTTGTCTGACACCAGCCACTTTACAAAGTATTTTGAGTAACAGATTAGCACTTAGCAGCCTTAACTCTCTCTTCCTTCAACAGAACCAGATCTAGGGTCAGGAGATGGCTTCTTTGGCACACAATCTCCAGACGTCTACCGGATTAAGAGGGCAAGAATGTCATCTTTGCGGGTCAACTCTCCCTTAATCACTGCCGAGACCAAGGTTCGAGGGAAGTAGTCTGCATATTCCAAAGAGTGAAGCCATCCTTTCCATTATCTGTAAATCAGCTGAACTGGCAACAACTACACAAGTCCCACACATATTACAGATCCAACCGCCTTGGAGTATTCCAGTTAATCCAGAAGGGGGAGACACCTCAGGGAAGACCATATGGTGCTGTATAAATTAACCACCTCTAATGGGACTCCACAGGTTCCTAGCACCTCTCCTCTGGCAAATTATTGTGGTTTGCCATCATGTTGTGTCACTCTTATGACATAATGAACACAATCAGTCTCAGAAGGAATTTATCAACCTATTGTTTGATACTCGATTCACATGAAAAAAGGTAACATGTTTTAGAATACAATATAGAGGAACAGTATTGGTGCTTGTACAATTGTGGGCAAGAAGGGTACAAAACGTGATGGCATAAATGATGGAGATGAAGAACGGTTTAAGGAGAGCATCAAACCATATTATTAGTCTTTCCAGCTGCTGTTAGGAGCTCATAGTAACTTCAGCAAATGTACTGTAATGAGGAAAATGCACATACCGATTCTGCTATTCAGCCAAACACCACACTTTCCCCAGTGATAAAAACTGATTTCATATTCTGTTGCTTGGATTAAATGCACTATGTAGATAGAGAATCACCTTGTTCTTCAAAGAGAAAGGACAATTGAAGGACATAAACATGTATAAACCTTAATAGACAATTTAGTTGAAATAGAAAATGGCTTTGGGTTTCCTCTCCCTTTTGAAGCTGTAACCAGATTTGAATCAGTGAAAACGAATTGTTTCGATGGTTTTAAAATCGTTTTGTTAAAGCATGAGTTTAAGTGGTTCTGAATTCAATTTTAGGATTCTCCTCTAGTTTAGGACAATTATTAAGTAACCCTAAAATAAATCAAATAAAAAAATTGCAATTGTGTGACCTAGAGGTCCATAAACTAAATAAGATCTAACTGGAGCACAAGGGGAAGTGGGAAAACTACTCGTATAACTTGAATTCTGTTTTTGTGTTTCATGCATGTCTTTCCATCAGTTTCATGCACATGCATAGGACTGGTTTCCTTCGTCAATACTTTTCCATGTCTTTGTATTCCTATATAAATATTGTTGTATTAATTATTTATAGATGATTATTAGCGATTGATGTTTTCCTTATTCTGTATACCAATTCATGTAACGTCACCTGTATTTTTTCATTTCTAGCCTCGTGTGAATTTGTCTTGCCAGCGTGCAAAGTCTTACCAATTGGTGTTAAAAACAAAATAAACTTTGTTGTGTTTCTTTTTTAAGACAATCCACGTTTTTATCAATACTTAGTATTTACTGAATGTTTGACAATATTTTAATAAAGAATAATCTGTAGCCAAAAAAACCTTGACTAAAATAGGGCCTAAATACTGACATATGCACATGACTCCTGGCCTGACATTCTAATAATGTGGATTTAATGACACCGTGTCCGTGGAGAGGTTTTTTGGAACGTCCATGTCTCAACCACTGGGACAGATTGAGAGTATGGGTTTACATCATAAAAGCTGCCAATACCATAATATAAATAACAAACCACAAATAATCTACTGGATTTTTTTCTTGCACACCCAAAAAGTCATGAAGTAGTAAATACAAAGTAACAGTTCACCCTGAAGATCGATGCTTTGCTTAAGTAATGGAATTATACTAGAGTGATGCTATAGGACAGCTTCAATTTGAAGCAGTATCTCTGAGCTATGACGATGATGATGGCTTCTTCCCTTTAGAGATGACCACAGCCTCCTCCCCAATCTGATCATCAATAAGCAGAGAGATCGCTCCATCCAACTGCCCTGTAGCGGCCAGAGCCACAACAGCTTTCTCTGTGGGGAAGCCCATCTTCTCCAGCTGTTGCAACCTGAATGTACAGGAGATTAGATGCACAGCATGAACTTAAGCATTTAAGATATCACTATAGATGAAAAAACACTAATTTAGACTGTGAACTGACCTTAATGAGGACACTGAGGACTTGGGTACTTCCACTTTGTCCGCTTCACCTTCAGGTGCATCGTGGAGTGATGCTAATATCCCTGCTCTCAGCATCTGTTCCTCTAACAACTGTGAATCTGTTGCCAACAAAGGCTCCTGATGCCACTCTAACACAGAATGCTGCCATGCCGAATGATCTTCCAACTGGGATCTACTGGTTGAAGGCTCTGGTCTATTACATAATAATAAAAAACAAAGCTTATTAGTTATTCTAGTTGCATGACATGATTTAATGATTGAAGAATGAGGCATTTATATAGCACTTTCATATGTACTACTGTACACCCAAAGCATTTTACAACCATATAGGATACCCATAACAAACAAATGGGAAATATTTGCAGAAAGTTCGCAATAACCTTATTGAGGTGTTGTGGTAAACTGGCAGGTGTGGATGAGAGGTAACAGGGATGTAGGCCCATTTTGGCAAGCAGGAACATGCACCCAGTCTCTCTATCTGCTCCAGTATTTCAATAAACTCATTATTGTCTGTATAATATATTAAGGGCATTAATTTATTAAGGCAATACATATCACAAAATGATATTAGTGTTACACAGATCTAGCCCAGGAAGCCTCAGCAAACATCCAAGGGGGCAGCAGGGTGACAAAAAATGATTACAATTAAAATTATTATATATATTTACTCAACCTCATGTTTTTCTAAACCTTGAACACAAAAGAATATCATTTGAAGAATTTGATAACTAAACAGTTTTGGTTTCGGTTCCCACTGAATTAAAATGTATTGACAAAAAAATACGAGTCAATGGGAACCAAAACTTGGTGATAAACATTCTTCAAAATGTCTTCTTTTGTGTTGCAAACAGACATGCAAAGAGGTTTGGAATGACACAAGGGTGAGTAAATGATGAAAGATATTTAATTGTTGGGTGGACTATCAGTTTAACCAAAATTTCTGTTAACAAAAAAAGTTTGAAAACATGCAGCTTTGTCATAATACAGCAGAATCCTGGAAATATCTTATATCGAAAATATCCTATATTGGGGAGAAAACTGGTTTAAACATCTGGGGGGCCTTTAAGTCAAAAAGGGTGAGAAGAACTGGTTTAAAGGATACAGTTGAGTCCCAGACAAATGGCATAAAAATGCAGTAGTCCTGGAGCACTGGGAAGCAGAAAGAGGTTGAGGAGCAAGAAGAGCCAAGGCAAGAACCAGACAGGAACAAAGCGCAGGACCCTTCTCTGCTTCACCTGCCGACACTGAGCTGTGAGCAGGGCAAGGTGGGTGGCTGAGTATCCACTAACCCTGCTGGCTTCATCCCCGGTAACAAAGAGAAAAAGGCCATAAATAGGAGGAAGAAGCACAGTGGAGATAAAAGAGAGAACTAGGAAGACAAAAGTGCCCCATCTTCTCTCCTGACAGGGCCCGATCCACAGCAGCAGGGTGATGTTGTAGAGAAATGAGGTCAACTCTTCATTACTGAAGGCGTAGAAGATAAAGTCTGCAATAAACAAGAAACATTAGGAATTGCACGCCTTCCATGTAAATCAAAGTCTTATACATTCGTGTATTGCTTACCATAAAATCCAGGAAATTCCCCACCTGGTCCTAAACTTAGACTGGCGTGAATACCACAGAGCCAAGTCAATAAAATGAATATGACTATTACAAATGTTCCACTACAATATCCTGGCCGGTTTGATCCAAACCACATCCATGCCGAAAAAAGATGATCAAGCATTGTAAACTGAAAAACGCATCACCTGATGGGTTTCTATCATTACAAGTATCTATCTAAATTTGAGCTTAGAGCAGGTGTATCATGTATCCAGTTAAACTTCACTGCCAGTTTACGACGCTAGCATCTTGAGGTCTGTTTTACAAATACTTCAACGAACGAGTGTACGTACTACGAGTACGAGGTGAACAAATATATATATATATATATATATATATATATATATATATATATATATATATATATATATATATATTTAAATAACTTTTAAATAATAAACAAATAAGACCAAGCTACACCCATACCAATGTCATTTGCCAGCCCTTTTATTTTGACAGCGAATAACTTCCTCTTTCGGACAAGCGCATTTGTGGGAGTCTCCGAATATGTTTTAAGGGATTCATATTTATGGAATAATATGTTGTTAATCTATATAAAACTGTTTTATATAGTTTAATAATTGTTTGACTCAATTGTAAAGAATATCAGGCAAATTTCATGATAACAATTACAAACAGAGATTTATACCTGCCACCCTCTACAATCGGTGTGTTGGTACGTTCCATATTGCTTTCACGCAAGCGCACACATTGCGCATGCACAGTTGCCCGCACAACGCATACTGTTCTCCAACGGGAAGATGGCGTCAGTCACGAGTGAGTATATTTTTCCTCTTTTCTTGTTTTAAATTTCTTGTCTTTCAGTACTTTGTTACTGATAGAAATCCTCACAACTTAAGTAGATGTTAGAAATTGTTTGGAATTTGAGGTTGTTTTTTGGATAACCAACATTCCTCGAGCATGCGGCCTAAAGTTTGTTTTTTTGGGTCATGGCGGTCGTTTGAAGCTAACGGATCGAAAACGCGAATCAACCGGTTTTTAAACGTAGTTTATAGTATAATAAGAGCCTAAATCCCATATAACGGCAATATATATATATATTAACTTGTCTTGTTCTTTAAGAGCTTAAATGAGCTCGTTGTTTCGTTCGTCGTAAACCGTAGCAGGCGTGGTTTAAAAACAGCGGGATTGAGAGAGCAGCCAACATGGCGAACATAATGTTTAGTTTTGTTGTTTGCATTATTGTTTTTCTTATTAATTCGAAATAAACGGACACCCGAGATTTGGTTTCTTGCAAGCCTTGTTTTTGATGCAATTTGTTTTTCGTCGTTAAATTTGGAGTTAAAAAATAAAATGTAAACGTTCAAATGCACAACTTTCTAAAATGTACCACGTGTTTTCTAAACCAAAATGTAAACGTGTTGATTCAGTGTCAAGGATTCCTGTTTCTAGTGAATATTTTAATATTTTTCAAACAACCAACCCTGTCTTGTTGATATAGGCCTAACGTTAAGCTTTGTTCCAAATGAGTGTCTAGAATTCAGCGAGGGTAGTAACGTTACTCACTTGTTTGTTTGCTTGGATAGTTCACTCAAAAATGGAAATTTTCGCAATTTACTCATCCACGTTGTTCTAAACCAGTATGAATTGCTTTCTTCTGCTGAACACAAAAGATATTCTGAAGAGTGTGGGTAACCAAGCAGTTGATGGGCCCCATTGACTTCCATAGTATGGAAAATACTATGGAAATCAATGGAGTCCATCATCTGTTTGGTTACCCACATTCTTCAAAATAACATTTGTGTTCAGTAGAACAAATTCTTACAGGTTTGGAACAACTTGAGGGTAAGTGATGACAGAATTCCCATTTTTTTTTGGGTGAACAATCCTTTCAAGTCATGCATGCATCTCCCATTGTTATTGGACTATAATAAAATACCAGGTGTTATGCAGCTGTAACCGTGTTTTCAGGACATCTAACCTTTCTGGTCATTTATTTCCCTGTAGATTATAGCAGCTACAACCAGGCTGGTGCACAGCAGTCGTAAGTTCTTAATTAACACACTGTATTATATATTTGTTATTTAAATAAATAGGCCTGGTAAATCAATAATAATAATAATAATATTGTACACAGGTATGGCTCATACACTGCCCCTCCTTCTCAGAGCTATGGACAAACTGCACAGGTAAGCCTAAACTGCCCAAACGCTCAGTAGGTCAAATAGTGGAGCAGTGGGTTTGTAATGCCAAATTTCCCCACATGCTGTATGTACTTGTTCGATAACTTAGCAATTCTGATGGTCTCATATCTAAATAGTGTTTGTGTAAAAGAAAATTCAGTTAATTTCTTTTGCAGCAGGGCTATTCCCAACAAGATTATGGCTCATATGCTCAACCTGCTGCTGCACCTGAGTCCACCTACAGTCAGGCAGCGCCCTCTGCTGGAGCGTATGCACAACAGCCATATGGATCCTCCTATGGACAAGCAGCAGCTGCAGCAACAACTACAGCAGCGGCAGCAGCAGCGCCAGGTCTGCAGGCAGATCTTATTCACTATTATACAAGTATATTTGCCTATTAGTGAAAGTGTTTGGAGCATGACTGTGGTATATCATTAGTATATATGATTGGTTTATCAAAACCATAATTAAAAATGTGTGGTGATGTTTATTTAGGCCTGGAAATTCCTGCTTTCTTAATGCACAGTTATCTTGTACACATTGCCATGCTGTTTATTCAGGTGTACATAGAAAATGATTCTCACAACTAATGTTAAATCATTCTCTTTAAGCTGCATATGGAACGGCACAGCCAGGCACTTATAATCAGCCTGCGCAGAGTTATGGGGCCAGCAGCTACACCAGCTCCACTGCGGCCCCTGCCACCCAGGCCTCCTATGGCTCCCAGCCCGGATACTCAGCCCAGCCAGCCTATTCTGGCTACAACCAGCAGGCTGCTGCCTCCGCTCCTCAGAGGTAACTGGACCAACTCCTAGAGCAGCACATCAACAGGATGCTATTATGGAGCTTCCTGCAGTATCTCCATATGCTGTTCTTACCTCATAGTGCTTGAATTTGAAAGCAGTTCCCATGCAGATACCTTGTTTTTTTTCTGTAGAAAAAGAAAGATCAGAGGCTGTTGAAAGGCATCGTTCACTCTGAAATGAAAATTAAGTAATTTACTCACCCTAGTGTTGTTCTAATTCAGTATGCCCTTTCTCTTTCTGACCACAAATGGGGAAATTAAAAATGTCCTGCTTGCACTACTCGTCCATATGTCAGTGAATAGAGACCAGCATGCTTTAAAAAGATGCAAAAGTATCACAGAATGTTCCCATGCGGCACATGTCATAGGGCTGGGCAATAAAATGAAGTAATAATTATGTTATAATTAATAATTATCGTAATATAATTTCTCTAAGTTTGATTTAATGTTTATGCACTATGCAAATAATGCTGTGCATTAGACCTCTTAATATTAAAAAATAAAGAGATGAGTATCATGAATTGACAACTTTATTTACAAGCAACATTCCATTCACTCTCTTAGAGGTGATTAGGAACAGCTTAGAGCTTAACAAATGTAGCATTCCTGTGAAAAACAAAAAACAGAAGTCTTTCTCAATACAAAGTAATCAAATCACTGATCTAGCTTATTTAGACGTTTAAGTTTGGTCTTTTAGGGAGGAAAGAAGGCGCACCGCTATGAAGCAAAGCAATGCACTAAAATTGCACAGCCCTGGTTTCCTTCTGTCATTGCAGTAGGCTTGCTTTTGAAATTGCCTTGGGAGTTTTGCGTCATCTGATCGACCATTGGTCTTCAGTGCACTACTGCGCAACGTGTGCGTTCATGAGACTCAGCAGTTCACTCTGACTTGTGAGAAATCAAGATTAATAAAAATATCTCCAGACTGGAACTCCAGTTGTCAGATGACAGTTAGAATGACAGAATAAAGCCCCGTTCACACTACAAGCGACTTTGTCGCTGCAGGTCGCCAGTGGCTGCGCTGGAGGGCGATCCCACTACTGGTTGCCTAGTAATGTTTGTGAGTGACATTCATGGATGTTACTCTGTTAGACAACAAATACGTTTTCTTGCCGCTACAAACAAATATTTTGGAAGGAAAAGTCTAAATATAAATGGAATCAGTACATAAAATGCATAATATTAAAGATGAACAAGAAACCGTGAGTGTTCTTTGCCATTGCGGCTATTTAACTGCAGCAAACGGGCAAATACCGGTCTATCTGGGTTCCCGAAACCATTCAGGCACGGAGGCAGTACAGTGAATACCACTGTTTGTACACGGAGATATATCATAAATTATAGGACAGTTTCTGACTGCTAAAATGAGCTTCTCGTTCAACTTGCCTCGGTCAGACTCAGCACTGAAGAGTGACGCGCTCCACTGACTTCACTCCTATTGGTTGTCGCTCCCGAAAGTCTCTCTGCATTTGCATAAAGTTAAACAGATCTCAACTTTGTCGCGTCGCCAGACACGCCCCACCGGTCGCCAACGGTAGCTATCGCCGGAAATCGCCCCCTCCCCATTGAAATGAATGGTGTCGTGTCGCTTGTAGTGTGAACGGGGCTTAACGCCCAAGGTCAGGATTTTTGTTAATTACATTAATTTCCTGTTTGTTTTGACCAAACCCTGTCAATACAACATGTTGTATGGGATCATTTTGTCATACTTTTGCGTCCTTTTCTTTCTTTTAAAAAAAGGTTTGCTGGTTGCTATTCACTGCCATTATATAGACGAGCAAGAGGATATATATATAAAAAAAAATCTCCTTTCGTGGTTTGAAAAAAGTGCATATGGCAGTAAATTACTTAATTTACTGCAAGCTCTTTTCTTTTTTAGGGTGAACTAAGACTTTGGAGAGTAGTGATTCAACTGTCATTCTAATGACCTCATTCTTTGTCTGAGCCCGATTTTACAGACAGGGTTTAGATTAGGCTCGATTAGGGCATTTAAGTCGCTTTTATAAACATGCCCTAGAAAAAACATTGGCATTGACATATTTTAAGATATGTCAGTGCAAGTTGCTTTCAGTTAAAACAACTCAAACAAGCATTTTAGTCTGGGACTTGGCTTATTTAATTTACTCCTAACTCCTGTCATGGCTGATGAAGAAAAAAAAAATGTATCAATGAAAGTTTTGCTTCTATGTTTTTGTGGAAACAAGAATATTTTGAATGAATAGCATTTATTTTTTGTATAAATAAAAGTAACTATTTACAAGTATCTACTGTCACTGAATGCTGGTGTACACATTTTCAAATGTTCTTAATTGCTTATTTTTTGCCCTGCAGCTATAGTGCAAGCAGCCAGCCGGCCTACAACCAAGGTGCCTATTCCCAG